CTCACCCCTCGTGGTCCTGATTCTCGCAGCAATTTCTGAACTTCATGCAGATGTTTTTAATTCTCGCAGCTCCAATGCTGTTAGGCCATATATCTTAATTAGTAACATAATCATAAACTTGGGGTTTTTTAAAAAATTTTAAAAAATGCTCTCTCGTTAGCAAGTACTTGGACTAGGCTTCTAACAAATCCTGAAAGCCAATCTTAGCTTTCATTTGTAATTGGTTTCTTTAAAACCGGTCGCTGGTCCCGTTTTGACTTGGTTTGCTGGTTTTTGACGGGTTATACCGGCCTTTGACTGGTATTTTATTTGTTTGGTTCTGGTCATTTTTCACAATGAGCTGATTACTAGTTCACCGTTTTCCACTATAATTTGGATTAGTTAGGTCGAATTTTGAAAACCACGCTTAAATGAAATAAAAAAAGAAATCCTTTTCCAGCACAAGAAATTTACAATCTAGTTCTTGTGAATGCAATAACAGATAATCGCATGTATACCTGGCACTGCTTCCCTTGAATTGATGAACATGTGCATCTACTTGTTTGAAATCAACAGGTGCTTGAGTTCTACAAGTGAAACAGAACCCAGTCACTATCTTCCTTAATTACATGAAATGTAAGTAAGAGCAGTCCCAGAAAGTGAGTCCCATAAGAAGAAAGGAGAGAAAATTCTTACAGAATCTTTTTCATGTTGTCGATGAGTTTTTCAGAATCATCAAAGTACATCGTCACGACCTCTTTCACAAAATCAGGACTGCTGTCATCTTGCAGCCTTTGAAGCTGTGTGAACTGATCGTCGATAAATCCCTTCTCACATGTAACAAAAACCCACCCACATTCAGAATCAAGCCCAACAAACCCAGAATAACACAACAAAGTTTTGAATTAATCACAAGGATCAAATACTACAGGTCTAGTTAAAGAATTGAACTCTTGTCAGATACTTCTTCACAACACAAAATTACCCGCCGGGGGGGTGGAAAGGGGGGGAAAAAAAGAACAGTGTATCAGCATACATATAATCCTCACGTTGAGCACAGAGAAGAAGAAACACAACAGAACTTAAAGATTACAGAGATTCAGACAACAGTCAGCCATAGTCCCAGGACATTGAAGAGAAATAAACCGACCTCCTGATGCATTGAAGCTTGAAGCTCGCGCAGCTGCCTCTGCAGCTGAAGAACATCCATGGTCATTCCCTCGCGTTGTCGAATGGCAGATCTCAGAAACTCTCAGGAAACAAAGGTTTGAAGTTTGGATTTTGACTTCAAATTAAGAGTGGTTGAATAGAACCAAAACCTCTCTCTCCGTTTCTCTCTCTATAAACAAGCCTGCTCTGCTGGTAAAAACCGCTAATACACACCGAGAGATATATATATATATATATATATATATATATATATAAGAGGGTGGCAGCGTTTGTCTTTATAAGAAGGAAAACTTTTTCTTTTTCTTTTTTTTTTCCGGAGAAAGATGATTTTATGGAAGGAAGAGGGAAAGGCGGTAAAAGGGTTACCAGAAATGGCGGATTTCCTTGCGTAATTCAAGACTTGCTGCTTCAGGTTATGTCTCTCCGTTAATGTATTAAGACGTTACCTACAAAAACAAAAAGGCCTCCTTTGTTTTTTCCCACTCAGAAAATGACTCCGAATTCCTTTTAAAACACAGACCTCGTTAAATGATAGCAACACGATACAAAACCAATAAAACGAAAACATAAATGCTGATCCCCGAACGTCTCACCTGCAAATTTTGGAAAGCAAACAAAAATAGATAGTACAGATTGGTGCTAGAATAAAGTTTGTCATTTATCATTTATTTAAATAAATTTATTTAAACAGAAACAGGATATATTTCTGACCAAAAAAAAAAACAGAAACAGGATATAGTAAGAAAGAGCAAAGAGGTAAAATCATTGATTTTGCTGGCCAAAAAATGGATTTGGGTGGAGCTGCCGGTTTAAGTGATCCATTATCGAATAAAATCTGAAGGGACCAATAAGAGCAGACAGCTAGGGAGCCACATGTGTTTGTCGACTCATACACGGCTTTCAACTACAACCACTAGTCAGCTGCTCATGAAACACACAATTCTGGGGTTACGTTGTTCCAAAATGTTTATTCTTTGTTTAGTGCCTCCCTCACTAGTGGAAATACACACGTTCAGATTTTCCTGGTAATATGTGATTTATCTACTGCAAAAAACATCTTTTTTTTCTGTTTGGTTTATGTCGTTCCCAAATGTTTATTCTTGTTTAGTGCCTAGCTCTCTAGTGCAACGGCACATGCTCAGATTTTCCTGGTGATGTGTGATCTGTCTGATGCAGAAAGAAAAGCTTTTGTTTTTAAATCCTGTCACTACCCTTTTCAATTTATAATTAATTAGATTCCTTATTATGATGTCCTTGGTTGTATTTTCCATTCATGAGTATGTTTCTGGAATTTTCCATCTCTTGAAAAATGTGGCAACTAATGACTTGGTCTACCACAATTAAGATCGGCGTTGACTAAACGCGTCTGGAGTTTGAACAATTGAAATCCTACTCTTCTCTATTCTTCTTTTATAAGTTCGGGAGATGAAGGTGAAGCTGGTCTATTCTCAAAATTCATGCGCAATCAATAACTACTATTCTTAAATATAAATCAATTTAATTTAATAGGTTGAATTCTTGTTACGAAATACACCCTCCAGTTCTTATTATAACTTTCAAATAATTAATTTACTGATAATAAATAATTAGTTAAAAATAATAAATGGATTAAAAATACACTTTTGTTTACAAATATATATTTATAATAAATGAGAAAAATAATGAAAGAAAATACGTGAAAAAAATATGATAAGAGAGAAATAATTAAGAAAAATATTTAAAAAATACATTAAATATTAAAACAAATACAAATCAAAGCTTATAAAATGAACCACATTCCTTTTCAAATTTCAAGTTTATAACTAGGACCAGAGGGAAAAGAGAAAAATGCATCCGATCACCAAAACCATCAAAATACTTTTAATATTAATATATATAATAAAATTTATATTCACATATAATAAATAGTTCAACCATTTTTTTTAAAAAATCCTACGCTTATACATTAGTCTCTCTAATTAAAAAAATGTATAAAGAAACATGTAACTTTTTTTGTTAAATTATTGAAAGAAAACATCAATCTGGTTCTTTCCTACAATAATAGTATTATTCATATTCTTAATATAAGATATAAGATCTAGTTTGTAGTCCTCAATAAAAATATATTAAAATCAGTAACATGGTAAGAGAAGACAGTGACACAAACATTTAAAAAATAAAAATAATTTTTTTGCCAGAAAAACAAAAATGTAGATGATACAATTCCGCATTTTGAACACTAATTTTAGTAGTATACTTTTGCTAAATGAGTAATAATCCTCGAACAAGAAAGGAGTGATATGGAAAGACAGTGCTGTTCCAATAAAATTAGACTTATAAAAGAATTAGCATTACTCTTATAATCAAAATATAATTTTAATGCATCATCAGCCAAAGATGGCATAATTGTAATCAACCCACCTAACTGTAATAATGATAAACTAATTACACATAGTGTGTTTAGATATCTCTTCAGAGGATGTTGCATCACATACTAGGGCTTTTGGACAAGCATCCATTTAGACTGCACCAAACAAACAGACAGACCGACCGACCCATCACTTAGTCAAAGAAAAATAAAAATGTAAAAAGGACCAAACAAACTATCATTCCATTTAAATCACGCCTCGTATTGATTGGGGAATTTAGAGCTTGTTTGGTTTCTTAGAGCCCCCTCTTTTGCCATGTTATACTATCTTCTAAAAAGAAACGTTCCAACACTCAAATTTACCTCAAATTGACTATTTCATTTCCTGCCCTTGTCCAAGTTCCAAACATAGCCTAAGACGTCGGTAATGAGTGAACGAGTTCTACATTCAATTTCTCTCCATTCTCTGTCTGCCTGCCAGCACAAGGATTTGCCTGAAGGATCCAATCAAACACCACACCAACACAATAAATGGGGAGAAGAAGGCATCCATGAAAACAATATTAACTGATCCTTTACAACATCATTTTGGCCCGACTCCTGGCCAATTCAATAATAATTATGTTTTTAAAAAAAAAGTTATACAACGTGGAGGGAACTCCATGCCCTGCTCCTATATACAGGCAATCTTAGATAAAATGATCAGCAGAGGAATGTGCATTCGAGATACATTCACTCAGCCTTCCAGATAGACCATAGCAACCGAACCAGCAAAACATGAATACTTGAATTCCCATCTACAGAATGTACAGGGTGACAGAAAGAGAGAGAGATCACACAATTGAGCAGCAAATAAACCTTAATTGCAGCCATATGCAATTTCTTATTCACGACTTCGTTGATGCCATAAATGACCCTCCTCAAACGTGAAGATCAACCTAAAAAATGATTAAACTCATGAGTCGATTAACAATAGATGACCATATTATAGCTGCATGGGGTATAATAGCAAAAAGGGTTACAAAATAGCTGCAATTGCAGCCGCTGTCTAAGATTTTACCTTCCTCGGAAAAGGCAAATATGCCACCAAGCATTTCCCCATCTTCTCCATCCTCCCCTGGTTGCTCCATTTCATGCCGGCCACTGCTGCCATCAACATCATCAGTTACACCTTCAGTCAATGAGTCACTTCCATGATGCTCCAATGTCTTGCAGTGGTCATCCTGGAAAGGTTGACCCACAACTCCTTTGCCATGCATTATTGATGGCACCCCTGGAGGTTTTCCCATGGGAGCATCTTGGTCTGGTACTGGCACTGAGCCGTCATTGATCCCAACACCTGCATTTTCTTGCATTCCCGGTGTTACCCCATTCCCCTGAAATAACAAACTGCTTTGGATGCTATGGTCAGCATGAGCATCAACATGCTTCGAACCTCCAGAAAGGAAAGAAAAATTTTCTGGCAACGTATGGTTCTGCAGAGGAGGCTCAACAATGATTGTCCCCATCCGTTCCAAGTAGATCTCATTAAGCATCTGACAACTGGATGCAACTTGATCCAGGTCAAGAAAATTTTCAGTTCTTCTTGATGAACCTAAAGGTACAAAAAGGACAACAATACCATCACCATTAGATATTAAAAAAAAATTTACAGAAATACTTAGGAGCAGGATTTAGAAGTAAAACAGATTTGCATAATATTGGGGAAGGATTTTCTACATGCAGCAGATGCAGGCAATGCAAAAAATTACCAAAATGCAATGATTTGTAATGGGCACCAATATTCCTCCGCTGAGTCTCTGACAGGACCTCAATGATTGCTTCCCTCTTTCTCCACAATTTATGAAACTAAAAAAAGCTGGTTAAGTAACTTTACGTGGAATAATATCTTACCCCCATCAGAGCTTTCTGTAGAACTGAGTGACGCTGGCTTTGAGTGACAAATAACCGTCACTTCAGCAGATGTCTTGTCTTCAGCTTGATGAGAAACCGAAGATGAAGAGCTTGAAGATCTTTCCCCAGTAAAACCTCTGAGTAAAACAACAAAATATTGACTATATAGCGTTGCTGGATAATACTATATGCATTGTGCAAGACATTACATCTAAGTGATCAAGGTAATCCAAATCAACATATCATAGTGTCACTGTGAGGAGCAGATGCTCAACACATTGATGACCTTAGAAACCTAGCAACATCTGATAAAACTGATTTTCTCCGTAAGGAACGCATGCAGAATTGCATTGCACACTTTGATACTAACATTCAGCGTAGGAAAAGAGGAAACACTTGATAATTTCTCTCCTTCAAGGGCGAGACCAACAGAGCAGATATAGTGAAGGCCAACAACCTTTATAATATGAGAAAACAAAATAATCCTCAGTTCAATCTTAAAATTCCATGGTTGCAGGCAAAATTCTATAAACTAGAATCACATAAAACTTAGATATCCATACAAAATATCAATAGATATCAGGTGCACCTCAAGATAGCCAAATAAGTGAAACCAATATGCAGTTATCTTAATTGTACGCCACTGTCATGGGCAATTGTATTAACCTATTTACTCTATATGCCAGGATGCAGAATCTGGGAATGAATAACAATATGGGTATCACCTCTCGTTCCAGCTTGGTCTGATGCTATGGAAATGGTCAAAAACAGGCAATAGCTCCTTCCGTTTTACTTCAACTTCATTGACAGAGATCTGTTCAATTTCAGACTCTCCACTAGCAACAGTACTAGTTCTCAAAGAATTCATAGAATAGAAGCAAATCTGTTAAAATGAGGAACATCATTAACAGAACCAACCAAATTAACAATCCGCACAAGCATGGAAACTTTTGCATAAAAGATACCTTAGACTTCTGCCATATGGGAAGCCTTCCAAAGTTTACCTGTACCTCAGCATTAGATAGATACCACTGGGATCTTTCTTGGGCCTTTCCAGTGGAGCACTTTACCACTTTTTCCCCAGCACCGTCATTTATATCCAAATAATCCAATCCATTGCTATCAGGACAGCATGTTTTCTCTTGAACTATCTCAGTACCATCCTCTCTATCAAAAGTATTGCTACAAGGATCCCCTCGCTCTGGCCATTCTGACCGTCTACATACATCCCACCACTGAATAGGCTCAACTTTTACTCTGAACTCATCATCTTGAATGTGCATGAGTGAAGCTGACTGGGTTATTGAACCACTATCACTAGGTTCTGGGCCAACAGAAGGCAGGAGTTCATGTTGAACAACATGACCAGATGGTGTGTAGACCAACAGATGCTCAAGGGGCTTTGCCTTCATATTGGCATGCTGCTGTGAGTGAGATAACGAATTATGAAAGACAGCAGCAAGAGCACCGGAGGGCACAAAAACTTTTCCTGTCACATTAGCAGAACCATGTACTGTATTAAGCCATCCAAAACTGCTATATTTTATGCGGCACACTACAGAAAGGGCAGCAGGTGCTGGAGGAGGCAAAGATTGCTGATCAGACATGGAATATGATGTGGACCACCAAGGTAGTGATAAAACTGGAAGCAAGGAGGGTTCTTCTCCCTGAGAATTAATAATTCGGAAACCAGTACCACCTCCAAACGGAGACAAAACAAAAAGATGACAAGTCCCCTTGGATGAAACAATGGCAATCCATTGGCTAAAATGACTAAAACATATGTCCTGGATCATCTGTCAAATGAAGAATAAAGACGCACATCAAAAGGGTGTGAACACAGGCCATAGGACAAGGTCAAACTTGACAAGCAAACACACATATCAAAACTACAATATACTAACAGCTGATGTTATCCCACGATGAAGTTTATAAAGATGCACGTGAGAGGAGCTCCAGTCATAGCTTGGAACACCTGGTCCCTTGCGTGTGCATGATGGCATTATCCGGAAGATGTTGATGTTATTCCCATAGACTGACGCACTGACCAGAAGAGTCCCACTGGGATCAAAACATAGTGCAGATATAGGACTAGTGTGAGCCTTAAATTGTGAAATGATGGCTCTTGATACGAAGTCCTTTACAACAACCTGCAATCAGCAATAAGAACCAAGTAAACGATCATTCTCATCAAATGCTCATAAATTTCCAATTTTTAAATAGCTCAACCATCATGAAATAATACCAACCATTCCTGCATTATCCATGTCCATTCCTGCAACCCTACCAACTTTCCAGCCTGAGTTTGAAGGCACTGGAGAACTAGAACCATCAGGAAGCAGCTCTTGACAGTATTTGATTAATCCAGAAGCCAGATGTTTGCCAGATTCCATTGCATAACGAGCAACCAAGCTACCACTGCCGGGAGATGTTGATGGACTAGCCCCTGGAGAAGGACTCAGGTTTTGTGGGCTCAGGCGGCCTACGTTTAAGGGCAGTGGATTGTTAGAAGCATATGCTAACCACCTTGGACCCACAGCCAGTGGACCGTAACCAACATTAACACTTGGTGTTCCTTGTCCTGCTAGCTGAGGAACAGGATAGGTGAGCACGCTGAATCTATTCTCAAGAGTCAATGCATCAAAACAATATACCTGCCATGAGTTAGAGAAAGTATATCAATCACGGTATATCTAATACAAATTAACTGAGTCAAATAAACCCCATCATCTTTTATTTGACAGAAATGTGATACAGCAAGTAATTAATTCAGTAAAACAAGTTAAATAATCTCAAAAGGAATTGGAGAAACCACAGCATACTTGTGTAGCAAGACCAACAGCTACTATGCGAGAACTGCATCTGATCATACAGACTATGGACCGAAATCTCAAAATATGGACATAAGTATGAGACTTTAGGGAGTAGAACCGAACAGCTGTTGCAGAGCTGACACAGTTCCCAGATTGAGTCTCCAAATTACCATCTCCTCCCAAACCACCCAAATGGGTGCGGTTCTGGCTGCTAATGCTGGAGTCGTCACCAGCAACAACCAGCAGTAAGGGATGTGATTTTCTAAATCCTTCCTGACCATCAATCCCTACAGGGAAAGGTTGCATCTGTAAGAAAGAAACAGGACCATCACGCTTTGAGACCAGTTCACTGAAGCTAGATGCATCCTCCACGTCAAGAACTTGAAACCCATTCAGATAACCAAGCAAGAGAACGCGCTTAAAGATAGACTGCTCAAGCTCCAGCTTATCAAAACCAGCCCATGTTACCTGTTGGCAAATAAGTAAAGGAAAAATTATAATTACAGGGAAAGATTGTGGATACAGGAGCTGATGAATTTAAATTGCAAGAGATCTCGGGAAGACAGAAAGTTTATCATAACAAGAACACTTAACAGAAATATTGCAAAACCACTCAACCTGCGTATGAGCTAAATGATAAAAGTTTTTTATAACTCCATTTGTGGATTTACCAAGTCAAAGCTAGTAAAACAATCATTGAAACTAAAATAAGTTTAGCTATTTGAGTTGATATCAACTATCATGTCTGTTCACATTCAAGCGTCTGAAATAAATATAAGTACGGAACCTTGGTACAGTTTATTTGTTACCTTGTAGGCAGTTGGCAGGAAGTTATTCAAATTAACATGATTATTCCCTATGATAGCTCACGGGTTCTGAATACATTCCTGCTAAGCTAGTTAGTAAACAGACTCAAAATGTTTTCCTGCAGTAGAATACATAGGTGAAAATATGTCCCGCAAAGTGAAGAGTGACCCATAAATTTCTCCTATTCAATCACTATAAAGTTCGACCATGCATCTTTTATGATATGTTGGTAGTGTCTAATGCATGCGTATTGGAAAAAATAACTTAAGCGAACTTTATATGAGCTTAAATTAAGCAAAAGCTTGAGCGAGTATATAATGGTCGCTGATATCTTCAGTTGTAAACTAATGTATGCGTAATTTTAGACCTAACTCACTGGGACATTGATATTCCTTCCGCGTCAACTGTTGATTAAAGAAAAAATATTGGACTCGCATCCGTGATTAAGTCCTTCGTGTTCCCAGTGATTAATCCAATAAAGACAAGAATCATTACAGTTTTAAACGCCAATGATAATAAAGTATGCAACAGTAGGACTTATTAATATAATTGTAGAATAAGAACCACTACATGAATTTATTCCGAACGATCACATTAATCACCACCGCCCATAATTTCAAATTGACGAGGCAATCTTTCCCGCTCTCTCGGATTCTTCCAAAAACGCGAACTCGATGTCAGACAACAGGGTATAAAGCACTTAAGTAATTTCATCTGTTCTTTAGAGCGACTGTAAAACAAAAATTCCGAAAACGGAGAAGTACCTGATCCTTGTGATCCTCAGAAGGAGACGAGATGGAAGCAGCAACAGAGGCGCCAGCAGAGCGTACTGTGGAAGCAACGTTGCCAGCATTCGTAGACACAGTCTTGAGGCAGGAAGAGATAATCCTCAATGAATTCGGCAACAAGCCGTTGTTCTTCCCCTTCCCTTTCTTCATGATGATTCCGCGGCTTCAACTCACCGGCAGCGACAGAGCAAAACTAGTGGTTTTCGCACAAGGTTCTAGCTCCTCGAGGTGCGGCGCTGCCGGCACCATCACCGCCTCCACCGACAAGAAACATTTCCGATCAGAGAAGACCGGATATTGCATTCGATGGGAGGACGATCAGAGCAGAATATGGAGGTGGATGAGCTTGCTTGTTCGCTGGGTTTGACCCGAAGGTGATGAGAAAGTTCGAAACCTCTGTGTATCGCTCAGATTATATCAACGCTTTGCTACTACTATAGCTGCTTTCGCTTTCTCTTCCATCACTGCAGCTGTTAGACTCCTCTGCCAGTAATTTCCAATTTTTCTCCTCCCTCCCTCCTCCCTTTTCTCTCTTCCTCGTTTCCTTTTGCTTTGTACTGTTTTGATCGTGGTAAATAAAACGAACGGATTGGGCCTTGTAGATACTGGGATACAGATCCGCTCGATATTTACTGCTTCAAAACTTAAAACATTCGTCATTTCAAATTTTCAGTTTGCAGCTAACAAAATTTATAAATTTGTTAGTGGGAAAATTTTATACAATAGTTGATAAAAATTTCTTTTTGATACCACCATAAAAAAAAAAATGATATATCATTAAGTTAAAACGGTTGTATTTTTATATTAAAATACATATAAATTATAAAAAGTTATTATTTTTTTGTTGATGATAAGATAATTTTAAAATGTGCTTATTTAAACTCTGACTTTAAATTAATTTTATTTATTAATTTAATTCTAATATTTTAAAGAGTAAGAAAATTGTATCTAGCCATTTGAGATTAATTCAAATGATGCGAGTAAAATAAAAAAAAAATTAGAAAATAGGTAGACCCAGAATACAGAGGCCTCCACATGCTAGAGATCTAAAATCCCAACCCCTAAGGCATTTAAGATTGGCCAATTAGACAATAACTTGATGCCACGGAAAATAACTTGATTGTGGATTGGACAGCTAAAGCTTCACTTTGTGAGTTGTGGCCGGTCGATTAGGCGCGGAGACCTTCGACTGTCTCGAATGAATTTTGGACAAGAAAGCTACTAATTTTGTTTGGAATGCTGGTTAACTATATTGTTGCTGATTTTTGTTTTATTTCCTTGCTATTTTGGTTTTTCCCCCCCTACTCGTCGAACTTTGTAAGACTTTGTTGCCTTAATATAGCTTCTTCGTTGGCAAAAGAAAAAATAATGTAGGATCTACCTTCTCTTTTTTTTTTTCCCCAAGTCACAAAGATAGTAATAAATGTGAATGGGTGTAAGATATTCCTGATGTAGGTGTAAAATGCCTCCCCAAGTGTCGTAACAAGAAATTAAACCTCTCCCTTATAGGTGAGAGGTGCAGTTGTTACCATTAAACACATGGATTATAGGTGGTATTGATAGTATATTCTGGTGGGAATATGGCTTTGACTTTGGCAATATTTATTTTGTGATGGGATGAAGGAAGAAACTAGAGTCACTGTACAGATTCTTCAATATGTTATAGAACTGTTTGCCATCATTATGCGCCTCATTTAACTGTCATAAACCAAAAGGTTGTTAAGCGCAGCATCAAAAAAACTAAGCACCCGTGGTTGCCTTTAACTCAACCCCAAAGCCTTTTTTTTGGCCTTTTTCTCCAAATAAAGCCTTTAACTTCTTAACTTCTTTAATCAAGTGTGCGGCCATCCTCCAAGCATATTTATCTTCATCCTAAATCCTGGAATTTCCCATCCAAACTCCGCGTACAAAGAAAAAGAAGGGAGAGAATTAAGGAACCAAGACTGGAATGAAGTTTTTTCCTTAAATAACTTAATATTTTATCTCTTCTATGGAAAAAAAGTCTAAATATATACATATGATGTGAGATGGATCTATTTTTTTTAAAAAAAATCATCATAAAATTGCTGTAGAGTTCAAAATAAGATTAAAAAAAAATCTCAAACATCCTTCCTCTGAACTCTACAAAAATTTGTCCCACGAACTAAGACTAATAAAAAGCTTGCTTTCCTTATGCTTCACGTACCGAGCAAGAGAAAATGCTTGACGAGGCAACTTCTCAAACTGTATCTTTGAGCAGGATTTTCAACCGCATCAGTGCGGTAAGATTTTTTCCCAGAAAAACAGGGACCGTTTTCTGCGGTGGGAAAAAAACAAAAGGACCCATGAAATTTCTGGCTCTTCCGCATTATTCAGGGTCAAGAAGCTCTTCTTGGAATAGCTTTCGGAAAAATGGCAGTCGACTTTTCTTCATGCTCTTGAAGCAGCTCAGATTGCCACTCAGAAGCTGCACAATCTGCACCACAAATCCAAACATCTGTGTTCTTCAATGATGAACCTCCTTATAAGTCAACATTTATATACATAGACTACGTAAGAAGCAAAAAGGGAAACGTACCTGTCTCATGGTGGGTCTGCGAATCGAAGACCGGTGTATACACAAAGAAGCGACCAATAGGACGAGATTCATCTGCCGACAATCGAACGCATCACCTAGCGATGGATCAACCAACTCCCTGATTCTGTTCTTTTTCAACAATGGTTTTGCCTGCAAAATTCATTGCACGCAAACTAAGAGACATCCCCAAATAAGCTTTTGTTAAAGACTCCTTTTCAAAAGGGACATTCATACCCACAAGACAAGGCTTTGCTGTGAATAATCAAGGGCTCGCCTGCCAGTGACCAGTTCCAGTAACAGAACACCAAAAGCAAATACATCTGTTTTCTCGTCTACTATGCCATGAAGCAAGTACTCAGGAGCAAGATAACTGTTACATTGGGAAAAAAAGGGTGTGAGGAGAGCTAGAAATGGCCAAATGAGAAGCATCTAAACTAGATAAAATTAAGGTGGTCACAAACCCAAAGGTTCCTTCGAACTTTGAAACGGTGTGGTGAGTCCAGTTCTCAGGGAGCCATTTTGCTAGTCCATAATCACAAATCTGCAAATAAACTTCACAACATTTCAATCTAGTCCTTACTGTATTGTTTATGGAATTGAACTTGCAAGCAGAGAAGGCAAAATCAAACCTGTGGCTCGTAATCCTCTGTGAGTAAGATATTTGCTGCCTTTATATCTCTGTGGATAATTCTTCTTTGACATCCCTCGTGGAGATATAATATACCCTTGGCTGTTCCTAAAGCAATGCTATACCTAATACACCATGGAAGGTTTTCCTTGGAGCCTAATACCAGAGAACGACAGAATTAGAAGTTTTGATCAAAACAGAACAACATTTGTGGAAGGAAAATTTTTAGCATATACCGTGAAGCACAGAAGCTAAGCTTCCTTTTTCTGATAATTCAAGAACAAGGTGCATGCCTCCTTCAACGCCATAGCCTACTAGCTTTGCAGTATTGGGATGATTAACATGTGCCATTATGCCGAGTTCTGATAAGAAGTCACCAATAATCTCATCTTGGGATCCACGTGTCAGCTTCTTAATTGCTACTAGCTGACCATTTGGCAAGCACCCTTTGTAGACTTCAGCGTACCCACCTTTCCCAATAAGGTTTTCTGCAACCAAAACAGAGGTAAGTTTTTTTTCACACAAGAAGATGAACATTTCTCAGTGAGAAAATCAAATTTTAAAACCCCATCAGTACATGCCTTGACTGAAGGAACTGGTTGCAAGCAGAATTTCCTTATGAGTGAAGATCTTCCATGGTGAATTGTGGAGAGACGAATCTGCACCTAAGCGGGAACTTGGAAATATAGTCTCTCTCATGCTTCTGCTCATTCTCTTAGACAGCTTGAGGACGCTGAGAGGAGGATGCATGGTGGGCGCAGGTTTTTTAGACCTGTTCGTCAGATTTTGGAGAAATCCACGCCATTTGGAAGCAAATTTTGACTTATCTTGAGCCTCAGAATCTATGGTGGGTTCCTTGGGAGAACTTGTGTCTGATTCTGAGCTCCTAAAATAGTCCTCAAGAACCCCAACTGGGGAATCTGCCTTCTCCTTCATTTCTCCAGACCGCAATTCCAGACCCACGCACCTCCACCTTCTTGCACAAAGGGAAATGGCAAAAAATTTTCGGGTTCTTCCTCCAAATTTATGACAAGTATTCATGCAGTTTGAGCCAGATATTGAACATGATGAGGTATTAAAAGCAATCCAGAGGATACAATATAAGACTTTGTATGACAATATAGATAACCACAGAAATTAGCTAAATCTAAGAAACGTTCTTAAAGTTTACTGAACAAGAAAACAGGGGACACCGGGTTTTGAAGATGACACGGCACAGAGGATTGCAGACAAAGCATCACAAAACAGAGTAAAACTGGTAGAACAGAAAAGCTGAAGGCGATTCAGAGAGACAATAGAAATTCATTAAAGAGAAGGACAAGAACAGAAGACAGGAGAAAATGAATATGTTCGCGTATAGATTTGGGACAGAGAAAGAGAGGAAGGAAGGCTCTGAGACAGTTGAGTGGGCAGACGCAGACATCACAGGCTAAGGCAGAGGCTGCTTACTTAACCTTTCCGCTTCAACAAACAAGGAACACATACGTTTTCAATATATTTCAATCACAATATTTAATTACGTAATTAAAAAAAAGAATATGGACTTCAGATGTGTTGGAGATGGAGATGTAATTGAAGATTAACATGGATGGACGTAACAAGTAAGAAAAGCAGAAAAGGGAAAGATATGATTTTTTTTTTCCCTTCTTTTTTCTAAACCAGGAGGAAAGATATGATTAATAATTTGGAATGTAGAAGAAGACTAGAGAGGGGGCGAAGATGGCTTTATTCGGGCAGGGCATCCTCCTTGGTCAGAGACGGCTCTGCTTCTGTCTGTGGTCTCCCCTTCGCTACGGCACGTGAATTTTGTCATTTAAGCTGACAATTGTGCCGTTTCAAGGCAGGACGACGAAACACCGGACCGGTCTCTCAGAACGTTTTCAAGATTGCAAGGTAAAATTACATCTTAGGACATGTGTTTCTTAAATTTAATATTATAAAATCCTATGATATAATCTTCCGATCTGTAATATATGATCTAATTATAGAGTTAATTTTGGTTTTAAATACAAAACTTAGTTCTTATATCTGTTAATTTTTTTTCAAATCACTTCTATTGATACAATGATACTTCTTTAATCATAATCAAATATGAGAGGGAGGAAAGGAGGATATAATAGAGATGATAAAAATATTTTAAGAAAAACATATCATATTTATTATAGTTAACTAATTTACCTAACTTTCTTAATTTAATCAAATTAGTTAAATAAATCTTATATTAAAAACGGAAAGAACATATTTATTTTCAAGGGTCAGTTGTGTTGGAGGCTTGTAAAAGTTTATAAACCCTGTACTATGTTACATGATGTATTGATTGGCTGGCCCTGTTCAAAAATATATTAATATTAATTGATGATTTTACAATCAAATTTCAATATAGCCTAGAGTCCAAAAAAAAAAACAGTGTCACTATTTATAGACCAAAAAGTGGCAGTTTCTTCCTGCTCTACCTGTACTTTCAACTTCCATCTTTTTAGGCTTTCTGTTTTTAACTTAATGCCGTATATTCGTTACAAATAATTTTTCTTGCACGCCTAACAAACAAAGTCATATAGTCATATCTGTTATTCTTCCCCAAAAAAAAATTCATATCTGTTATTTTGGATTGAGGTCTTTGTGTGCGCTCTTATCAAAATTGGAAGCTTTTCTTATAGTCAAATTATTTTTTTAACGTCACTTTCTCATATCGTCATCGAACCCTTGAGGCTCTTTCAAGTTTTGCAGTGTCTCTTGAATTATATTTTATTATGGAATCGAAATATGAGGATTATTAGTGGCACATAAACCGATTTAATTAACCAATATACATCTAATCAAGGGGGGTGGAGAACGTTATACGGGAATTTATTCCTATTAAGTCAAGAAAAAATTCGCAAGTTGGGTATGTTTAATATATTATTAGTTGGATGAGATAGTTCTTACGAAATAACATTCCTCCTTTTATTAAATAAAAAATGAAAGGACTGTTCAACGTCACATATCGCACGGGATGTTTAATTTGAGAGCTAAGTGGAGCCGTTTTTAATAATTATTTTTAATCTCACGCCATTACTACAATTCTGTCTTGGCATGCTTAATATATTTGGTTGTTCAAACAGATAAAAACAACGTTACGAGGAGGAAAAAACTAACGGTTCCTGACCAATTGGTTGTTAAACTATTTAAGGCAGCGCTGTGGTTGACCAGCAAAAGATTAAAATAATATTATTTATATGTAAACTCTAAAAAAGTAATATTTAAATTAAATGACATTGTTCATATACAAAACACATATAACGTAATGAAATAGAATTACTGGAACACAGACAACAAACTGTAAGTTTTTAATTTTCAACTCAAAATGACGTCGTCCTCGACTTAAGAGTGAGAGGAAAAAACATTGATTTGATCATTTAATTTGATGAGAAAAATATTGACATAAGTCGTTGATTTGAACTGAGTTTCAATACCATAATCAAACATTGGGATAATAGAGCCTTTGCAAGGACCAATTGCTATCAATTGAGTGAGGAGAGTAGCCTATAAATCTTAATCTATATTGTATAAAAGTTCTTTTGATTTTTATTGTGGTTATAAACATAAGACCTTAATCTATATTGTCTCTTATAATTATTTATTTTTTAAAAGTAGTTCTTATAATAATAGTAGTTATAATTAATACACTTAATTAGCAAAGATACTTTAAAAAAGACGCCACATATTTATTACAAATAACTAACTTAACTAATTTTCTTAATATACTTAAATTAGTTAACTAGTTCTTATATTAGGAATGGAAGATAATACTTAAATTAGTAGGGAACCAGGTCCTAATCGGATGTAAATTGGCGTGCAGGAAAAAGCCTTAGGGACCTAGCGTATCAACCAATCCCGGGGTATTAAATTACTATAAAATATGGGGTTAGTTGTCTTAGTTATGATTTCGGTGTCATTAACAAAATCGCAATATTCTCAGTATTCACGGAACAGACACCTCATCCGAGGAACTCATGAACTTTGTAACCACAAATGTACTCAATACCCTTATAATTAAGTGTTATTATTATTTTTGGCCTTTACTCAATACTCTCCATTATTATCCTTCACCAACAAATCTTCTCGTAGGATCCAACCCTTCATCATATACGCCCTTCCCATTATCTGTTTGCGTGATCACCAATCTTTCCTATTCTAGCTTCTTCTCCTTCTTCTTTTTTTTTTTTTTTAAAAAAAAGAAATTGCTCTGATTCTTGCGTTTGAATTCCCTTTCTCATTATACATTATTTACACATTTAGTTATCATTTCCTTAATCAAATAGGGCCTTTTCTATGCTACAATTGAAAAAGAGATAGCTGGGGAGTTGGATTCTAAATCTAAATATAAGACATAAATTTACATTATCCCTTTTATTTATTATCTGAACCAATCAAAGATTTGATTTGGTCATAAATATAATATCTTGGTTCACTTTGTTTCAGATATTTATTCATCTTACCTCCCAAGTAATTTTATGGTAATTACACATGTTAAGTGTTTTCCGTCAAGAGATAGTTTAAATATGCATGATTAATAAGATTATCTTAAGCAACACAATATCCATTTATTACAAATAGTTAACTTAACTGATCTTTTTAATATTAACAAAATAGTTATATAGCCATTATATAAGCACCAGAGGTGGTATGTTTCTATAAGCTTATTGACCTAACTCAATTGAGATATAATCTAACGTCATCCAAAATGTATCCTAATGAGATTATGCTGCAATTTTTATAGTTAACTAATTTATTTAAATTTTGTTAAGTAACTCTTATACAACTTTCATAGGTAATATAAAAGTTGGGAAATTAATTTGAGAGAGTTAATGAAACTAGTTAAGTCGATTAATTATAACAAATATATGTTAATTTTTTTAAATTGTCTTTTTTTAATATATGACATATTAGGTGAGGTGTAAATATATGACTTTAGTTAAGTGGATTAGACTTTAGTTCTTAGTATCTAGGTGGGGAGTAAATATATGATATATTAGTCGAGGTCTAAATGTCAAATTTTGGGGAAAAACAAGAAGTTGTTTTGGGTTTGTGGTGGTTCCATTGCTAACGGTCTAATCTCCAATGAGATGAAGCCCATTCACGAGTTAGGGGAAGACTGTCCCACCCACTCCTTTGTGTTCCTTGTCTGCTTGTCTTTCTTCCGCGTCAAATGTGTTTTTTCGCCCAATAAATTAAATAAATAAATAAAAATTTTAAAAAAATGTCAGTGAGATGATATTTTCCATGACGCTCCATGCTTAACAGCTTCTTAATTGACCAAGGAGCCGATTGAATTCCAGTCTTTCGCAATTCTTGCATTCAAACTTACAGCAAGATAATATATGTTTTATTTGTTGACTTTGTGATTACTAAAATATACAAGAAAATTAAAATACTAAGTTATATAAAATTTCTTATTGTTTTCTATTGAAATTACACACGCGCAACATGTACATTTTACTGTGTTTTAAAATGCATCCAATTTTTTAAAAAACCAACAAATTGAACGATTTCAATTATAATTTCAAATTATCTGCGTAATATATTTTCTTCCTGAAGAGGTTTTATTTGCTTGAATAATAAAACAGAAATATGTGGATATCCAACTAAATTCATAAAAATCATCAAATTCAGTATTTAAGAAAAACCAGTGAATTAAAAAAAAAAAAAAGCTTTAGTTGTTTGTTCTCCGTATTTTTTTTAAATAAATTTTTGATAGGACATGTCAGCTAGCCAACCAGTATTCGGCTGGAGCATAATTTTATAGTGGCACGTATACGTGTTAGATGCATGGCATGTGCATTGACAACCAACAACCTTGTGGATTTTAATAAAAATTACTCATCCGATATTAAATATAAGACGTATTTTATTGTATAAATTATATTACAAAATAAATTTTATATTTAGAATCGGATAAATACATAAAGTTGCATTAAAAAAACATATCATCACTCGAAAAATATCTGGGAATTACATTAATATTTGTACAGAGCTTCCGCTATTATATTTTGCACAAAGGATCAGAATTCTTTTTAAGACAACATAGAATAGAAGTCATCAATTTGTGTAGAATAAAATAAATCAACAGTCACACAAATAAAGCACAGAATAGCAGTGTTTCTCATCTGAGTTTTATGTAACATGTCAACTCATTATACACAATAAATAGAGAAGTTCCAAAGTGGCGGTCTCATTTTATTTCAGACTGAACAACAGTAACTTGTGAGACTTATTTAACAGAAACGTGAGAAGTTTGGCTTTTAATAGCATTCATAAAAATATATATATTATACATATAAACGTAAATAAAAATTGATTGGTATCACTTTGCCAGGAAAAAAAAAAAAGGATTACTATCACGTGGAGGAGATGATCAGCATTACTATAATTCAATCTCTGGGCGATTAAACTGACGAGTTCCAATGAAATGCGACGGCCGAAAGAGAAATTGAAAATGGATACCTGGAGTTGGGCAAGTTAAAATTTATGTTGACGTTGATGTGATTTATTTATTTATTTTCTCCCCTTCCTTTTCTGATTTATTTTTATTTGAAATGTGTCAGATGCGCACTCGTTTTCATCAGCAGC